TATAGTGGGAAGAAGACTTAATTTTTTACAAAGAATAATAAAACTTACTATATACATAAAAGAATTGGGGGAGAGGTTAAGTCAAATTATAGGCTAAAAGAAGTTTAACAATAAAAAATAAAGAGGAAACCTTAGATTGGCCAAAATTGAGTTCCAATAAACCCATATGTCAAAATTTACTACACTAGTGACCATATCCTCAAACATAGGCATTATCACTTTATAACCTTTTGATAGAAAGTCAAACATATTTTTTACAAAAGCAAAGTGATGAATCAAACCAAGGTTAAAGCAGTCTTTAGAAGTAGCTCAACCTTTTAAACTTTTCATCATATCTTTTGGGTTCACATTTAGGGGACAATAAGTGTAAAAAGGGATGAAGGCATCATTTTTGTCATAAAAACCTTTTGCCTTTTCATCACCTTCACCCTCTTCCTCATCCTAGTTGGACCTATCAGTTTGTTCAAAACCTTGAACCTATTTAGTTTCAAGAGACTTCCTGTTGGTTTACTTGGCCATTATAGTTTGAGAAGATTTTAGAGCCTGAGTAAGAATAAGAACCTATATAGCATTAGAAGAAGACAATGATGACTCAAAAACATAAGACTTTTGAATTAGATGTTAATCTATAATCAGAGATTGAGATGAAATAGTGGTTTGGGCACTGGGGAGGATTATTAGAAGTTTGACAAAAATAGAAGTTTGATTAAAAGAGGTCTTGGTGGATGAACTAAAGAGGAATGAATTAAAGAAGATGAAGAAAGGATAATTGGAAAAATCAAATTGACCATATTTGTGGGGATAGAAGAATTCTAGATATTGGAATCTATTGCCACTAATAGTTCATCCATTGTATGAAAAACCTTTTCACTCCTAGCTTAGCATTTTTTTCGATTTGTTTTTTGTCCTCAATGGACATCGGGTTTAACTAGTAGGCAATTTGGCTATATTCTCTTCTTGCAGTAATAGAAAGGACATCATCATATGAAAAAACCTCAACCTATCTTAGTCGATCAAACCATTCCTAACCTTTATCCCCTTAAAGTTAGATAAATTTGAAGTAGAAGACATAGTTAAAGTTAACAGACATACTAAGGTTGTTAAATGGTAAGAGAAAGGTTGGACCAAGAAAGTTGGAAAAGCTTGTGGTCAGTAAAAAAAGGTAAACATGAGAGCAAATAAGTAAAATGAATGTTAGAAAGTGTGAGAAAGTGAGGGTATTAGGGAGGCTTTAAATAGGCAAGTTATAGATCAAATGAACAACCCAGATTGAGCCATATTATTGTATATAAAAAAAGGATGACCCTTCGACTTCTTCATTCAAATTCAAAAAACTACCTAATTTTTTAATTCCTATCTAAATTTCTCTTTCCTTATTAAATGAATATTCAGATGAATCACTAGCCAATTCGTTCAAAACTTATAAGTATTATGTCGATCACATTATATAAGTATAAGGCTTTAAGTCAAGATATCAATACCATCCAAACATAGATTTTGCAAGAATCAAGTTGAAACTATTGTGAAAATTATCTCTTTGCCACTACCACATAAAACTTTGATAAATTCACTCACAACTCACAACTCAATCTTATTAGTAATAAATCAGCTAGATTAACCTTTCAATAGTTTGATGCTTTAGACCACTTGATGGAGCTATAAACTATTAGGGGCATTTTATGGTCATAAAGGCATTATGATATTTTTCCTTTAGAGGGTGACACATCAACAAAGCAAGGGTAACTATGTCATTTTGACCTAAACAGACGTGTCGAGTTGACCTGAACTCTTAAGACACACATCAACTTGGCCATCTTAACTTCTCATTTGAAGGCACATAGGAATGTTAATTTGCATCCTCTAATTGGCTTGTTGCCTACCAAATCAAGCCAGGCCAACATTATTAGCCCTAGACTTGCTGCTCAAAGCTCAATCACCCAAGCCTGACAATTTCACCCAATAGGTATAAGTATCATCCCTCACACCAAGTAGATTTATTCAATTTCCTTCTCCCTCATTTTAAGGTTTTTTGCCTTATCTCTTTTTTCAGGAACTAACTTGAGTGTCAGAGTACAAATATCAGATAATCTTCTAGCCTTTGCTTCTAATCAACCTCCAAACTCATACTTTCAGGTTTTTAGCTTCATCAAACAACTTGGTCAAAACACTGACTATGCATTTTATCACTTTTAAAAGATGCTTAGCCAAGATTTTTACCTACTTATTTCACTTTTTCTAGCATTTTTGTTGCTTGTGACTCCACATGATCTATTAAATAAGGTAAATGGGTTCATTCCCATGTTATCAACTTCAGTGGAGAGATCGTTGCTTTTATGGAGAACGTCTTTCTCTACGTCTTATATATAAATGCTACAAATTGCAGCAGAAGCTACCACATATCAGCCATTTGGCTTGCCATGTGGCAACCTCTTGATTTTTTTTATTTTTTTAAGTGAAACCCTTTTTTTTTATTTTTAAAAGGGTGGGCTTACTTTTTTTTGTTAATTTTTTTTTTTATGTTTGAGACCTACACTTTTGTTTTAATTTTATTGTCTATTTTTTGTTTTTTAATCAGAGGGGCTCACTTGCTTTTTGTTTTTAAAATTTTTTTAAAAGTGTAAGGTGTATTATTATTTTTTTATTTTTTTTAAGCGTGGGATCCATACCTTGGTTATGTTTCTTTTCATTCAATGTTTTAATTTTTCATTTTGATTTTTTTAATTCATAGGGTCCACCTATTTTTAATTTTTTTTTCAAATTTTTTAAGAGTGTAGAGGTCAAATTCTTTTTTTGTTTTTTTTTTTTGGTGGAATTTGCACCTTAGTTTATCTTTTCCCAACCGATTCTTTTTTTTTTTTATTTTGATATTTTTTTATCTTTTAATTGTGAGACTCATTTTTCGATTGTTTATTTAATGCAAATATTATATTTATAAATAATTAAGATTTAATTTATCCATTCATCCAACCATCTTATAGATAAATTGTGTATATGTATGGATATGCATTGTGCGTTGTGTGTCAATTGCATTATTTTTTAAGGTTGATATGTGTAATCTATTTAATTTTTTAAATAAATCTTTTTTAAGAGACGAGACTCAATTTCAAAATTTTTTTTCTTTTAGGACTCATTTTTTTGTTTTTAAATATAAAACTTGTATTTTTTTTAAGGACTCAGTTTGACTTTTTAAAAATTTTTTCCCATTTATTTTTATGTATTTTATTATAATTCTTTTTTCAATATGACCCATTTTTTTTTCAAAATTTTTCAGTGAAATCTTTTCCTTTTTTTTTTGAGGTTTTTTTTTTCTTTGGTATCATGTGTAATTTTTTTTATTAAATGTTTTGTAAATATTTTTTAGGAACCAACTTCATATCAAATTTTATTCAATATTTTTTCGAAAAGATTCAATAAATTTTTAATACTTTTTTTACCTTTTTGAAATCAATAGTATATTAGGTTTAAAAAAATTTTTTTTTTTATATATTTAATATATAAATTTTTAAATTTAATTTTTTATGACTAACTTGATCTCAAGGTACATAACATATCAAGTTATTTTTTCTTCTATTTTGCTTTTTAATTTTTTAATTTACTTTTTTTTATTTAAAAAAAAATTAAAATATTTTTTCAAAATTTAAGTGCCATTTTTTTTATTATTAAAATATATTTTTTTGTTGTTTTATTTTATTTTTTTCAAAAAAAGATATTAACAAATATGTTGACATCGCATCCAAATTTGATGTTTTTGTTCTTTTTTTTTTTTTTTTTTGTTTTGGGATCCACTTGATCCAAGTGTATGCCGTGTGCTTTCTTTTTTTTTCTTATCTATTTTTTTATTTTATATTTAATAAATATTTTAATCAATTTATTTTTTTTGTGTAACCCCGTTAATGTTAAGAGTATATCACGTATTCATTCATTTGCTTATTTTTTTCCTTTTTAATTTTTCAAAATTTTTAATATATTTCATAAATTTTAAAATATTTTATAATTTTTAAAGAAATGGGTTCATTTAATATTATTGATTTAATATATTTTTTTATTATTTGATCAATTTTTTAAAAAATATTACAAAAGTTCAACGTGACATCAAGATTTTATTTTTATTTTTTTAATTCCTTTTTTTAAACCCTTGGTAACTTTATTTTTGTTATTTCTTTTTATTTTATATATATGTGTATTATATTAATAAGATTATCATTTAATATCTTAATTTAATAAATTTATTTTTTATTTTCTTATTTTTATTTTTATTTTTGGTTTTGGTTTTTATTTTTTATTAAATTAATTTAATTAAACAAGGGACGTGGATTGAGGTATACATATTGCAACTCCATTTAGCTTTTTTTCTTTTACTTTTTAATTTTTTCCATTTGCTTTTTTTATTATTTTTTAATTAGATAAATTTTACAAAATGATGTTGATTGATAGAAAATATCAAAATAATTTGTATTTAACAGGTTTGATCCATTTCGATTATATAAGAGGGTGAATTTTTTAGATCGAGATCAAGTTGAAACAATTTTTTCTTTTTTTTTTTTTAAAAAAAGAGGAGATCAAGGCGGAAACATGTTTAAGGTATTCTGTCTTGACCAATTTTGAAATATATATATAAAAATATATATTTTACTGTTAATTTTATTTTATATAATTATATTAATAAACTAATTATTTGTTATTTTAATTTAAAAAATTAATATATTGAGTTTAATAAAAATGTTTGTATGTCATCCTCTATCAACTTTTTTTTTATTTCTTTTATTTCTTTTTCATTTTTTTAATTTTTTTATCTTTTCACTTATTTTATTTTTTAAAATTAGATAACTTCTGTAAAAAAAATAAATAAATCCAATCAAAATAATCGCATCTCATTTCCATTTATTTTTTTGTTACATTTACTTTTTTCTTTTTAAATTAAGTAAATTTTACAAAAAAAAAAAAATCAATTAACTAGATATGATAAAATAAAAAAATTTTGATCCGCGTCACCACGCGGGTATTTTGATTGTGTATGCTAAATCTGGTAGCATCCAAGATGCTAAAAGGATCTTCGATAGGTTGGTAAAACGTGATGTGGTCTCTTGGAATTCCATGCTCACTGCATGTGCCCAGCATGGGCTTGGCAAGGAAGCGGTGCAATGGTTTCAAGGAAACCTGAGGATCGGAGCTGTGCCTAATGACATAACATTCCTCTGCCTTCTTACTGCTTGTTGTCGTGCTGGACTCTTGAACCAAGGACAATACTATTTCAAGTTGACCAGGAATTACAACATAGAACCTCAGATTTCACATTGTGTTACTATTGTTGATCTTCTTGGCCAAGCTGGTCTTCTTGATGAAAGCCAAGAGGTTTATAAGAGAAATGCCAATCAAACCCACTGCAGCTGTTTGGGGAGTCTTGCTTGGTGCATGAAGGATGCATAAGGGGAACTTACTCTGCTGGTCGTGTTTTTGAGCTTGATCCCAACGATTCAGGACCCCTTGTCTTGCTCTCTAATATTTATGCCTCTGCCGGTAGATGGAGTGATGCTGCTAAACTGAGAAAAATGATGAAAGAGAGCGGGGTAAAGAAGATGCCTGCTTGTAGTTGGATGGAAATTGAGAATACAGTCCATGCGTTCGTGGCAAATGATGTTACATACCCACGAGGCCACGATAAAGGAAATCCATACAATGTAGTAGGAGATTGGCACGAGAATCAAGGAAATTGGATATGTCCCTGACACCAGCCATATGCTTTTCTATATGGATCAGTTGGAGAGGGAAGTAAAGTTGCAGTACCATATTGGCATTTGCACATCTCAACTCTCGTTCTGGATCCGCAATTCGTATCAAGAGGAATATCAGAGTTTGTGGTGACTGCCATTCAGCAATTAAATTTGTGTCGCAAGTGGTGAGAAGGGAAATCATTGTAAAAGATACCGATCGATTCCTTCATTTCTATGATTTGGCTCTTGTATTTGTGGGGACTACTGGAAATGCCTGTGGTGATTATGAACTAAGAATAATTGTTGATATGAATGCTGGTTCTTGACCCATCCATGTTTTGAGCTTACGAATTGACAGAATGTGAACATGCACGTCAGCCTCCTGTTTTGGAATGAAAATAAGTTAAGTCCTGCACTGACATGGTGATGATTATAGGACACAAAGTTCACGAGGCGTCTGGTAGACCATAAAATGAGGTTGTTGCTTGATTCGGCACCAGGTAGAGAGAAATCTCAAACGTGCCCCAATCTCTCTGGTAAATTTATAGTTAATTGCTGAAAGCTCAATAACATTTGTTTGCAAATGTGGAAAACCAGGAGAATCATCTGAAAGGTAGTTATGTTTTGGAAAAAAAAAAAAGTGGCCCTTCACATTGAAAATAAACCATCAAAGTGTTGATGGATGTGAGTACCATATACGGAGTTTTACATCTTTAACGGTGTTAGCCAAGCGGCAAAGTTGTGGACCTTCCGGGAATCGGGATGGAAGAACAGATGGTATTTTTCTTGTAAATGCACAATCTTTATTTATTTTTCACTTTTCCATATTTAACGTTCAAGATCCAATTATATTCAATAGATTGATTGACCTTGTATTCATGTAACGTTCAAGATCCAATTATGAATGGCAAACGAGGCAAATCCATTTTTTAGTGAAAGATGTTCCCAAATTCAGAATGCTTTCCTTTCAATTTCATCAGGCTGGCTTTATTGTCTCACATTATTCGCAAACAGAGTGTAGCAAATTTATATTCTAACTTCAAGTTGGTTGTGTATTTAGGAGTGAGAGATTTATGTTTTATACTAATGTTGTGGCAAAATAATAGAGGTTTGGGAGTGGAGAAATTGTTGTACCTGAAGCAATAATCACAATAACACAGAAACAATAGACAACCATCAATAATAAAAAATGCAGAAAAATAAAGCACACCAAGATTTACGTGAAAAACCCTTCCAGTGTAGAGGGAAAAAACCACGGACCACCAGAAAAATCTTCACTATCAAATAATAGGTATACAAAATTCTTCTCTAGCTAAAACTAGAGCTAAACAACAACTAGAGAAACAATTGGAGAAATCTCACCAAATAAGTGACTCAACAAATACACCCTGAATTTGTTCCTAGAGAGCTTCAAACCCGATCTTCACCGTTCAGAATGTAGAACTCTAAATCATAAACCTTCTAACAAGATTCCAACTCAATCAAATCACGAATCGACTTCCGTTCAACTAACTCTCCCTTCTCATTTTTCTCTCTACTTTTTCTGGCTTTTCTTCTTTTTCTACTTGGTTTTCGACTCTCCCTTAAAACATCCCCACCTCTTTTTTATTAAGTAGCTAGAGCTCTATGTAAAATGAAAGATCAAGGCCCATGGCCTTTACTTGGTCTAAAACCACTTATATGGGGCTGGACCCCATTTTCCTAACAATCTCCCCCTCCAGCCCTATTGGAGGAGATTCATCACCATAGCAGTTTCATTTGGAACTTACCTTGCCAAGGAACTCATTCTGGTCAAGTTACTGCAAAGCTCAAGCTTTTTCCTGAGAAGTATCTTAGTCAACATATCTGCTATATTCTTATTAGTATGGACTTTCTTCAACAGCATTTGCTGTTCTTCAATCACTGAACGTAACAAATGATATCTAACATCTATGTGCTTTGTTCTAGCATGGTACATGACATTCTTACTCAAATCTAAAGCACTCTGGCTACCACAAAATACCACATACTCTTTTTGATTCAACCCCAATTCAAAAAGAAAACGTTTCATCCAAAGCATTTCTTTACATGCTTCGGTTGCTGTAATATACTCAGCCTCTGTAGTTGATAAAGCCACACACTTCGGCAACTTAGATTGCCAAGATACAGCTTCTTTTGCAAAAGTGAACAAATACCTTGAAGTAGATTTCCTACCATCAAGATCGCCTGCCATGTCAGCATCAGTAAACCCTTCTAGAACTGGTTGTGAAACTCCATAATTTAAGCACATTTTTTAGGTACCCTTCAAATATCTAAAAATCCATTTCACTGCTTTCCAGTGAACCTTCTCCGGATTAGAAAGAAATCTGTTTACTACACCAACTACATGAGCAATGTCAGGCCTTATACAAACCATAAGATACATTGAAGAACCGACTGTAGAAGAATAAGGAATATTAGACATAGCCAGTTACTCTTCCTTAGACATTGGACAAGATTTCTTACTTAGATGAAAATGGTTGGCAAGTGGACTGCTAACTGATTTAGCATGTTGCATGTTGAATCTACCAAGCACTCGTTCAACATACTTTCCCTGTGACAACTATAGCTTTCCAGCTCTCCTATCCCGGATAATATCCATACCAAGAATCTGTTTTGCTGGACCTAAATCTTTCATATCAAAAGACTTAGACAATTGTTCTTTCAACCTATAAACCATACTAGCATCTTGTCCTACAATCAACATATCATCAACATATAATAATAGGATAATGAAGTTACCATTAGGGAATTGTTTAACATACACACAAGAATCCGTTACTATTCTTTTATAGCTATGACTCACCATAAAAGAATCAAACTTCTTGTACCACTATCACGGAGCTTGTTTCAAGCCATACAAGCTTTTTTTCAATTTGCAAACTAAGTGCTCTTTCCCTTTCACTTCAAAACCCTCAGGCTGATTCATATAAATGTCCTCATGCAAATCACTATGCAAAAATGTAGTTTTAACATCAAGTTGCTCAAGCTTAAGATTCAAACTAGCTACTAATCCCAGTACCACTCGAATAGAACTCATATTTACAACTGGAGCAAAGATCTCATTAAAATCGATGCCTGGTTTCTGAGAAAAATCTTTTACTACCAATCGAGCTTTGTACCTCACTAATTTGTCACCATCTTTTTTCAACTTGAACACCCATTTATTCTTTAATGGCCTCTTCCCTTTTGAAAGTTTAACAAGATCAGAAGTACCATTTTTTCGCAATGACTCAATCTATTCTTTCATTGCTTTTAACCAGTGCTTTCTATCCGAAGTAGCCTGCACATCTTGAAAGCTTTCTAGCTCTCTTTCACTGGTAACTAAAATAAAATCTGAACTTGAACACCGGGTAGATGGCTTGCACTCTCTAGTAGATCTCTTGGGCTGAGACTTTACATCACTTGATGCCAAAGGTGGCTCCCCCTACTCAACACTTTTAGGTAGAGAGGATTGCTTCTCCTGTTCAAAACTAATTGCATCTGGCTCATCACCAACTGTGGCTGGCTCATTCATATTCTCAAGTTTTGTTTCTTGCTCATTTCCATCATCTGTGGCTCTTTCCTGTGGAATCTCTGTCAGTGTTGAAACATCACACTCAACAGTAACCCGTCTAGTCTTCTCATTTTTCTCAAGGTCTGCTATGGTTTTCTTTTTCATGAAAGATCACATCTCTACTTCTGACTTTTTTTTCTTTACTGAATCCCATACCTTGTAACCAAATTTCTTATCACCATATCCTACAAACACACACTATGTAGCTTTACTGTCAAGCTTTGATCTCTACTCTTTCGGTACATGCATGAATGCTTTACACCCAAAAACTTTCAAGTGAGAGTATGAAGTATCTTTCCCTATCCACACTCTTTCTGAAATATCAAAGCCCAAAGGAACTGATGGTGACCTGTTAAGTAAGTAACAAGCTGTGTTGACTGCTTTACCCTAGAATGGCTTTGGTAATTTTACCATCCTTAACATACATCTGACTTTTTTCATAATGGTGCGATTCATTCTTTCAGCTATACCATTATGCTACAATGTTCCAGGTTCTGTCATCTCATGCTTGATCCCATGTTTTTGAACAATACTCTTTAAAGCCTTTAGATGTGTATTTCCCACCATTATCAGTTCGAATACACTTCAAGGGTAACCCTGTCATCCTTTAAACCATGGCATGAAACTTTTGAAACTACTGCAGTACTTGACTTTTGTATTTCAACATATACACCTAAGTCTTATGTGAAGCATCATCAATAAAAGTAACAAAATATCTGCTATCACTTAATGACTCAACTTTAATGGGATCACATATGTCAGAATAAATTAATTCCAATCTATTTTCTTTTCTCTGAGAACTTTTACGAAAAGACACTCTATGATGCTTACCAAACAAACAATAATCATATGAATCGAGAGACATACCTTTGGTCAAGGAAATAAGAGACTGCCTTGCCAAAACTTGTAACCCCTTTTCACTCATGTGTGCCAACCTCTTGTGCCACAAATTTGTTGAAACATCATTTTCAACGGCATTTACCTGATTACCGTTCAATTGCATCCATGTCTTATACATTATGCAACATAGTTTTTCCCTTGCAACTATAATAGATCCTTTGAGAAGCTTTCACTGTCCATTTTTTTTTCAACTTTCATATCCCTCCTTATCAAGGACATTAATAGCAAGCAAGTTTATTTTCATATCTGGAATGTGTCTGACATCCCTCAAAGTCAACATGCAGCTTGTACTAGTTTGTACAATAATATCACCAATCCCAACAATCTGTGACACACTATTATTTCCTATCTTGGTACAACCAAAGTCTCATGTTTTGTAAGTTGTAAACAACTCTCTCTTAGGAACACAATGATATACCACTCCTGTATCAACTATCCACTTAATGCCGAGATCACTAACATGATTACAATCACCATGTGTACAAATCAAAGTAATTGAATCGCTATCTGAATTCACTGCTGCAACATTGCCATCGTCTGAACTTTTGCCTTTCTCATCTTTTCGCTCTTACTTCAAGATTTTACAGTTTCGTTTTATATGACCTGCCTTACCACAATAGAAACACTTCACTTTACCTCTAGACTTGGATCTATGTTTAGACTTACCACGGCCTTCTAAGTCCTGACCTCTGTCGATGTTTCTACCCCTGTTCTCTGTGACCAGAGCTTGATTTCCAAGGTCTACATCTTTTCGCCTTGCTTCTTCATTAAGCATAC